CAGTTGCAAAATCACCCAACACAAAGCCCGTTTCATAACACAGTTATTATAAAGAATTTTCAATCACAATTCACAGCTCAAAGAAGGCTTCTACTAAATGCATCTCGCTTCCGCACCATTGCAAAGTCGAAAACCACAAGTCAAACCACCCTAGCCTAGGCCGTATGTGTGTGTATGTTTTTCTTTTTACAAAGGATTTCAGTCCTGTTCTCCCAGAGTCTCACCCCTCTATTGATCCTTCAGGAAAGTTCCAGAGTGGGACAGAGACAGGCTCAGATCTCATCTGCAGGACCTTTGGGCTTGGGGAGTCCATTTCTCTGAGCCTCAGTTTCCTCATCTGTAAAACCGGGTTCATAAAAGTGCCCACTGCTTAGGGACATTATAGAAAGTCAATGAGCTTCTCTAGAGAAGCATCCAGCAGGCGCTCAATAGCCAGGAGCTACAGACACCATCATCCCTCCTAGGCTCAGGCCTCGTTCTCGTGCCCGGCTCGCGGCGGGTGTGCCCAGGGGTGCGTGAGTTACCCTCACGAAGGCCCACGCCCTAGGGGACAGTCTCCTCCCCTCATTTAATGAGATCTACAATATTTTTAGGGGGGCACAGTCTCAAAATAACGTGTGTAGGGACGGTAGAAGCGGGTGGATGGAGGGAAACCCACCGTCTGCCATCGGTGGCCCCTCTGCACAGCAGAGGGGACCCTCCCGTCCCTGCCTGGCCTGGGGGAGAGCGAGGGGCCTGTTAGATCTGAACAACAGCTCGGCAGTTCCTGCGTCTCGGAATTTCTGGACACCCAGAGAGATTTTCAGTCCCTCGGCTCTTGGGATTCTCAGAGCCGGGCTGTCCAATCCAGTAGCCACCGGCCCCCAGTGGCCGCCGAGCACTTGAACTGGACTCGCCCAAATCGAGATGTGCCGTAAGTGCAAAATACACACCAGATCTCCAAGCTTTTATCCTCCCATGCAAACCTCCTATGAGTGATTTTTCTCTTGATGACATACTGAAATAATATTATGGACACACTGGATCAAACAAAATATACTCTAGGCCGGGCACGGTGGCTCACGCCTGTCATCCCAGCACTCTGGGAGGCGGAGGCGGGCGGATCACTCAAGGTCAGGAGATCAAGACCAGCCTGAGCAAGAGTGAGACCCCGTCTCTACTAAAAATAGAAAGAAATTAATTGGCCAACTAAAAACATATATGGAAAAAATGAGCCGGGCATGGCGGCGCATGCCTGTAGTCCCAGCTACTCGGGAGGCTGAGGCAGGAGGATCGCTTGAGCCCAGGAGTTTGAGGTTGCTGTGAGCGAGGCTGACGCCACGGCACTCACTCTAGCCCGGGCAACAGAATGAGACTCTGTCTCAAAAAACAAACAAACAAAATATGTATATATATATTCTAAAATCTCCCTCCTGTTGCTTTTATTTTGGCTATGAGGGACTTGAGAATGCTGCACGCGGCTCTCATTGCACGGCTGTCACATGTGCTGCGGAGGACACCAGCCCTGAGGACAGGCGTGTTTATCTCTGCTGTCCCCTGCTTGTCCCCAAGCACAGAGCAGCGGCCATGGATACTAGGTGAATGATTAGCCATTCATCTGAAAGTCCACCCACATACACCCCCGTATGTAGGTGATTATTTTAAAAAAATCAAGTGCCCACGAATGCTAGCTGACACTGTTGATATATTTCCCAATCTCCCTGCAAAATCCATGCTAAAAAATGGTCCCTGTCTACGAGAAAACCCTGAACTGACATCCAGATCTCCGGCTTTTCCCCGAGAATATCCAGACAAACCCCCAGTCCAACACGGAACGCTCTTCCTGACGCCTTCTCTTTCCTTTGCTGTCCTGGTGGGTGGGGGCAGAGAGCGGAGCTGTCCTCTTACGTCATCGCTGCTGGGCGGCCCCCCTTGCGACACCCCCAGGAAATCCTCTTGCTGCCAAACCAAAGCCACTTTGGCGCAGAGCCAGCCTCTGGCCCGTGTGCTGAGAGCTCCGTGCAGGAGGGTTTGGCTGTTCCGTGTATTTCACCGAGGATTCCCCGGATATAAAATGGGGTTTGCCATGAGCTGGTCACAGTATGTCCAGCATCTGTGTGTCTCCCTTGGGACAGTCTGTGACCCCTGGAGGGTCCCAACGGCACTGGGGGAAGAGCCGCCCTCGGCTCCAGGCTCTTGGAAACTCTCTCGGCCCTGTGCTCTGCAGCGAGGGCAGCTGAAGTCCTGTCCCAACGAGGGGAGGCCGGGGTGTGGCCACGCCCGAGGGTCTCCACAGACTTCTCCGTGGGGGCCACGCCATCAGCCCTCCGGACGTGAGACTGCCCTGCTGGTCTGCCAGGCCTGCCGTCCCTCCCCTTGGATCGTCTCGATGCCCCCAGTAGGTGGCAGGCTGCGAGGGCGCTCCGCTGCTTCCCTGCGTGCGTGCAGAACAGTCGATTAACTTGCTCAGGCATCATCACAGATTCCAGCCCACAGGACTCAGGAGGAGAGGGTTGGAGAAGGCAGGGAGGCCGAGTCCCGGCTCTGGGAAGCTACGGAAAGTCGCCGAAATCTTTCTACCATGCAGAAGGCGCCAGGGACTTTTGTGTCTGGAAGCCACTTCCAAGGACGGTGGCAACGCGGGTGGGTCTCAGAGGAAGAGAAGACCAATGACAACCCCTCTGCCCCCGTGACAGGGGAGAGAAGCCGTCTTGGGGACCTTCTCTTGGTCCCCTGCCCTCCCCAGGCACCTGCCCGGGGGGCCCCACAATGCGGCCCCTGTCCCCAGCCCCCAGGAGCCGCCCCGATGCCCCCATCCGGCAGAGGAACGAAGCCCAGCCCACCGCGCTCGGCAGGAAGAGCGTTTTCTCTTGAAGGGGCACAGGGGGCTCAGGGAGTGGCGTCCCGGGATTTCTCTCCGCCTGGCCAGGAAATTCCACCTCATCGGCCGCCTCCTGCCCTGCCGCTGAGCCAGTGGAATTTCCCTGCGTCACGCTTGGCCCAGACAAAGGTCGAGAGTGCTGGAGCAGGACCGTAGAGGCCGTGAGCTCTGGGCACGCGGGCTGCAGCCAGCACTCCCCACGCAGGCCGGCAAGACATGGGCGCGGGCTGGGCGGCGTGGACGTGAGCTGCGGTGTTCACGCACAGCTCGGGCTTGTCACGCAAAAGCGCCCGGGAGGCTGGGGGTGGGAGCGGGTGCCACGGCCCAGGAAGGCACAAGAGCTTATGCTTCCAGGGGCAGCCTAGGGTATATCATCCTCTTATTTTATACTCCTTTTCTTTCTTTCTTTCTGTTCTCTTTTTTTAATTTGAGATAAGGTCTCACTCTTTCGCCTGGGCTAGAGTGCTGTGGCATCAGCCTCGCTCACAGCAACCCCAAGCTCCTGGGCTCCAGCGATCCTCCTGCCTCAGCCTCCCAAGTAGCTGGGACTGCAGGCATGCGCCACCATGATCAGCTAATTTTTCTATTTTTAGTAGAGACAGGGTCTCACTCTTGCTCAGGCTGGTCTCGAACTCTCGAGCTCAAGCGATCCTCCCGCCTCCGCCTCCCAGAGTGCCGGGACTGCAGGCGTGAGCCACCGAGCCTGGCCTCGTATTCCTTTTCTAAAAAGGACACCCCAGATATAAAATTTCAGCATTCCCCTGTTACGGGCTGAACCATGTCCTCTCGAAATTCCCACGGTGAAGCCCTAATCCCGGGCCGTCGGGGCGTGACCGTGTTTGGAGACGGGGCGTCTACGGAGGCGATTCAGATGGACGGGCCCTGGTGCGATCTGACTGCGTCCCGATAAGAGCGGGGGATTAGCAGGCAGACACTGCGCAGAGGCAGGACGACGTGGAGACAGCGGAGGACGCCGCCTGCAAGCCGGGCACAGAGGCCTCGGGAGAAACCCCCACCCCGGCCCCGACAGCGTCATCTCAGACTTCCAGACTCCAAGACTCAGACGAACATGAATTTCGGTTGTTTAAGCCGCCCAGTCTGCGGGAGTTAGTCACGGCAGCCCGAGCTTACCAACCACGCCCATCCACAGACGCATCACGACGGACCCCAGGACTGGGGCCCGGGTCTCTGGCCTCCGAGCCCGGGACTTGCTCCCATGGACAGTTACGACGCGTGTCAGGACGAGTGCTGTGTGCCAAGAAACAGCCTGGCAGCCAGAACCAGGGCTCGGCCCTTTCCGAAGAACATTCCGGAAGGGCATACTTTAGAAGCCGGCACAGGCTTGGACCCAGAGATTTCTCTTCTAGGGATCTGGGGAAGTGGTCTCTGGGTGTGCAGATGTCCCCCCAAAAGGACGGTCGTCCCGGTGAGGACGGAAAAGGGCTCACGCCTCCAACTCCGCGGGGAGGCGCCCACGCCCACTGACGGGGTTCCGGGCAGTCGTTGCCGAGGACACGTGGGTGCGGGTGTTGGAAGCAGCTACGACCTCTCTCGTGGAAATATGGAGAAATCGGCATGCCCCCACGTACCAGGCGCTTGCTGCTGCCGAGGCCTGCAGAGGCACCGTGTCACTCAATCCTCCCAGCCACCCTACGGGGCAGGGACTATGACTCCCATTTCACAGATGAGAGAAACTGAGGTGCAAAGAGATCGGGTGGCTCACTCAAGGTCACAGAGCCGGTAGGAAACAGCGCCTAGGCCTGCTGGACTCGACTGCTTGCTCTTATTTAACGCTATGTGACTATGCTATGACGCGGCTTTATAGAACCACCGTGTAACTGTGACGGGATCCCCCTTGCTCTGTGCACACCACACACACGGCACAAGGGCCAGCGGGCACGGGCCAGCAGTCTCACAGTAGTCCCCCCAGGTGACGGGCTACGGCTCACTGTTTGTCCTTGGGCTTACCTGATGGCTCTGAATTTTCTACGAAAGCATGCACTGGTAGTAGGAGAACGGAAAAAAAAAAGGTTCTTATTTTGAAAACCAAAAGAAAGAAAGAGAAGAGAGGCCAGGAGCATAACCTGCAGGGTGGGGACGGTGGCCTCTCGCCAGGCCCCGCGGGCGGGCGCCGCCCTACCTTTCAGACTGAACCCCGTTGCGCAGCGAGCCCGCGTAGCTCTTCTTCTTGTCCACAGGCATGACGTCCACGTAGCCCCCGCTCCCGTCCCCAATGACGCCGGCGTGCAGGGCGGACTTGCAGATGCTCGAAGTCTGAAAGCACAGGAGGGGCCAGGTCAGCGCCGGGGTTCCCGCCCCCGGGGCCCAGCCGGCCGGGGCTCACCGTCGCGGGGCTGCCTGGCCGGTGGCGTGCCCACCACGTTGGCCCCTAGGAAATGTCCATCACGACCTCGACTCCTCGCCGGTCTGTCCGGAGAGACCTGGCATCATCCATTCACTCGTCTGCTCAGCAGTATTTCCTGAGCACCTACTATGTGCCAGGCACCGTGCTAGGCACTCGGGGCATTCAGCAGGGAACAAAATAAAGATGCCGCCTTTGCAGACAAGTAAACAGATACACAAGACAAGGTATCCTCAGCTAGGAGGAAAATGAAACCAGGCCGTGAGGT